AGATTTAAAATGATCAGGCATTTCAGTAGAGAAGTGAGGAGTTCTGCTGAGTAGGAAGAAGTACAGAGCCACCCTGACCAGTATACAGAGACGATGCTTTGTCTCCACCACTTGCTTTATGACTGGACTGTGTATTTTGCTCTGTCCTTTCAGCTGCTTTGCTTATTTTGAAGTTGTGTGAACAATTCACTTGTTGGTCACCTCCTCCAAGCCCCTCCACACACACTTGGCAAATAGAGCTCAAGCATGTGGTGTTTCCAAACTCCATGATTACGACTTTCTTTTTTTAATCACATTATTTTAACTGTTGTATCTGAATACATAATAAGAAGCCCAGAGACAGTGTTACCATGGGATCATTCCAGAGATTTAAATCTGTGCAGCACTACATCCTTTTTTTTTTCCAAGGTAGCATATTCATGATCAGCTCCACTACTGTGACCTGCGAATATTCTGAGACTGCAGGGGGTCCAGGGATCATTAATTTGCAGCACAGTGTTGCTACATGCTGTGGGTCCCAGCAAGCACACAACTTCCCCTACTTCTGCTCCTTCTTTGCACAAACAGAAAATAACTTAAATTCTCTTTCCTTCCTGTGCATATATCCAGGGATACTTCACATTCCCTCCCACTCCTCCACCTCCATGTTCCTTTTCATATCTCATAAATAAACCCCTCCAGCCTTTCTTCCTTCCAGCTACTCTGTACATATCACCACCCTCATTGCATCTTCCTTCGCCTCAGTACGCATCCAGCACCCAGTGTACACATACATCTAACCTTTGTGTTGAATAGACTTTGTGCAATAGGCCCTTCTCTAGGAGCAATATATTTCGAGCGAAAGTTAAAGCTTTATCATTATTCCCAACAGCTGCAGTTTATCTTCTGGGAGACAGGGAAGAAAAGCTTTAGCTCCATTTTGTCCGATAAAAGTGTTTTGTTGGAATATTCTTCTACAGGCCTTTGCTTCCAGAGAAGAAAAATACTGACCATTAAATACTGCTAATTTTGCAAGTACTTTGTCAAACATAATATCAGTGTATTTTGCTCAATTTTAATCTCATGGAACTGCATATAGCAATAGAAATTTTACTAGAGATGTATTAGATGACAGAACTGAAAAGCTGCCTTGAGAACTCCCAGTTCAACAAGTGCACACCATGCTGACCACCCAGTGCAGCAGATGCAGAGGACGAGCCACACCAGCGCATGGCCTGCTGTCCTGACCTCCTCCTTCTCCATCGGCTCACTTCATCCCTCCTCTAGCACATCAGCCTCGCAGTCTGCATTACTGCTGCTTGCTAACTTCAGCCTCTGCATCCTAAGAACTGCCTCAGCTGTGCAGAACATAGGAAAGACCTTTAAAATCACATGAATATATGTGTACACCCCAAATTCTGCTCCACAGCCTGGTTTAACTCCCCCTTAAAGACCACATACAGTTATCCATAAGTCCATACCTCATCACAACCAAGTTGCAAACAGAGACAGCTTACATAGAGGCAGGTAAATTCCCTGACTACCTGCAACCACAAAGACACCAACTTTGTCTCTCAACAGCCAAGCACCTCACTTTTCTATCACTAGGAAAACATCTAAACAGCTGCTGAAAAATCAAAGATTTATAGCCAACACATATTTCCTTCCCAGGCCTGGGATACTTTGAAAAATCCAAACAAAATAGACTCTGTAGTTCACACCGTAATTTCAAAATATACTATAACTCTTCAGATATAAAAGATATCAGAGTAAGTCTAAGCAGAACAGGTAAATGATGCAGGCTTGGAGGTATTATTCATGTATTAACTGTTCTATAAAATTATCAATAGAATTATCTGCAACATGTCAGCTTTCAGTCTTTGTTCTACTATTGGTTGTTCTCCCTTTTTCTGTTTTTCCTTTTAACTGAGCATCTGTCTACTTTTGCTCATATTTTTCAGGTTTTTTAGATCATTAGGTGTCTGTTCATGAGAGGTAACCCTTCCCTCTCAGTTTCTCTTTCTGCTCTGTTTCATATGAATACTTTTGCCCCATATGAACTTGAGCATGGTCCATTGCCCACAGTTCACCCCAGCTAGCAGAGGAGGGACCCTCCACATACCTTTCTGCTTCCTTTGCTTGGAGGATCCTTCCAAATACTTCAAAGGGACAGGGATGATTTGTTCTCTCCCATATAGTCTGATAAGCTCTACGTGACAGTCAGCTGGAGGAATGTCAACTGCCAGGACTTTCTCTTCCTCCACTGCCCAGATATTTGGGTTCTGTAATGCCCTGCAGCACACCGAGTGGTTCCAGGACTGCTGTCCCTTTGCCACTACCTGCTGCCACAGAGGTGTAGCTGCTCCACAGTGGGGTTATGCCATGACGTCCCACATTTTCCTCCCTACCCTGCACAAGTGTACCTGTAAGGCCATGAGAAAATAAGGCCCACAAGAAGGTGACTAGGGTAACCCTGCCAGTGCAGCACTAACTTCAGTGCACCCAGACTATCAAATCTTCAGCTTTCTTAGTGTAACATCTAACTGAATCAGTGGAACTGAAGCCACTGCAGACAGGGGTGAGGAGATTAGCCCATCCTAGCATCCGTGGGAGAGGGGACCCTAAAGGTCAGCATAGCCCTGTCTCTAGTCTGATATCCAGCTTTTTTGCTCCCTGTGAAGCAAATCTCACTTACTAGTTGCTGTTAAATCAAGACACAAATTCAGCAAGGAAATCTGGAAGATTCAGCCTTCCACAGTTCACTCATCCAGAGCACAGCATTTGCCAACTCACAGCTGCCCATCAACACCCATTGTGGCATCGCAGCAGATCTCACAACATTTTTCTTTCTGACTGAGCCCTTACTCTGATCTGCAAAACCAACCCAACATCAGGCAGATGCTACTGGTGAAATTCTAGAGTGAACCGAGTTCAACTGCCATTGATACTAGTGCAGACAAAACGTATCTGCAGGGATAGAAAATGTAGTTTTGAAGGGCTAGGAACAGTTTGAAAAAGAAGGCGGGACCAAAGCTACTGTGAAGATAACAAATCAGGACTATTCTCAACACTATGAGAATCAGAACTTTGTAAATCATCATTCACATACACTATTTTGTTTTCCCTTTTTTATACATTCCTCTAATGTATCTTACTCACAGCTTGCATTCTCTACCTCCATTGTACTCATATAAGATGTCGTGCAGATCATATCAATGCTTTCCAAAGACATGCCAACCTTTTGCTCTGATTTCCTCCTTGGTCACCTAGATAGCTGAACGGGTTTTAAGCTACCTCCCATTTACAGCATCAGTATTTTCATATGGACATCAATACGAATTTCCAATCTGACTATTCACCTTTCATTAACACACAGGGATGAGTGTAATGTTCTGCCTTGGATTTATTCTGTACTTTATTCTGCAACACAGGAAGGTTTATCTGCAGAGCTGTTCCTTCTGGAAAATTACACGGACTGGCACTTAAATGGTGTAGCACTAGCAACACACCCACTTCCAACACACACGCACTGTACAAAATGCTGTTAGTCCCCGCTGCTTAGATTCATCCTGAAGAGTGAAAGAGTGGGAGAGACGCAGCCCTGAGCCCCTCATTTCTATTCCCCATGCCCTCTTTACATGAGCTTTCCCCCAAGAGGGGCAAAGCCAATGGAACCAAGTCCTTCCTGAGACCATTACAATCTCCATAGTGGGCCTGGCTGGCTATAGATGGAGGAGCCCAGGTATGTTGTACTCTTACTGATTTTGACCCTTCCAGTTCTGTACATTTGGGAGCAGCCTTTGTTTCTGTTAAAGGTGCTACTTCTATATTCTCTTTTCCAGGACTGAGGAGGAGAGGGCTGAGGCTGGGGACCTGAGGTTACAGTGCCTCCATAGCTGCTCCCCAAATAGTAAGTGACCATGGCTCGAATGTGTCCGATACACAACGGCTTGTACCGTCCCCACACTGGCTCCTTGGGCTTAAGAATAAAGTTTGGAGTAGGAAGCTATGGAAATAGAGGTTTGTAACTTTCCCAGACAGCGTTGCCCAAATGATTATCAACTAGCATATGAACAGTACAAAATTCTCCAGGATTCAATTTAGGATGTGCACATATCCTATAATTTTATGTTATCTCAAGAAGCTGTGACTTCATAGTAGTTTAAAAATATGCTCTAATTTACACCTGTATAACTTTCATTATCACTACCTTTTTTCATCTATATTTATCACCAATTCATGATGATGCATGCTATTGAATATAAAAATGATTGAAAGCAGCCTTGGTAGACAATAACATTAGTATAATTAATGCCATTTCTTGCACTTACTCAGAAAACTGCTATGCTTTTATTCAGTGTCTACAAAAATTCTGTAAGCTATGAGAATCAGCGTTTCAATGGACGGAGCAATATTGGAGCATGGCTCCTGCCCTGTTCTGAATACTATACTTTTCCTTTACTCTCCAGGAAAGATGTGTGCAGTTTCATGCATCTATTTCCTTGCAAAGAATGCAAGTGATTCTTCACTCAGCAGAAGGGAGACTTGGGAAAGTGACTCGCTGACTCAGCGCTATTAAAATTTGGAAACCTCATAATCTTTTGCTGCCTCTGTCTTGCTGAGATGCACATCTCAGCCACATACTCACGGAAGCTTGGTGCCCATAACCTTAATAACTGAGGTTCCCGATCCCTCATCAGACCTGCTGGAACGGCTCTCCAGTCCATGTCACTGCAGGTGGTCTCCCCAAAGGCATGATAGTGCTAGCACTGCTCTCCAGCTTGGTTTGTCATCAGCTCACTTGGCAACTCCTGCTCATTGAAAACATCATGACAGTTATGGACCTTCCCACGGGCAGATCCACATCCTTCATTTTAACAGGCCTGAAAATGTCTATTAGTACAAAATTGATCTGGATCATATTTCCCAAGAAAATTCCCTAGCTGTCAAGCTATTGGCTAGTGCTCAAAGTGCTTATTTCATTATTAAGACTGTCCAAAGGTCTTTATTTCAAAGAACAAATAACAATTCTTGACATTAGGTGTTCAAGTTGTAGAAACAAGGTTGCATTGGTCCTACAGCCAGCCCTGCCCCAGTATGTCAATTTATAGGAGACATAGCTTACTGCCACAGGTGTGCTGACAGCACTGTAAAAGCAAACCGCAAATGAAAAGTCCAGTATCAGGTTAAAAAACAGTGTCCATTCTCCAATATTACATCAGTTTCAGCTTCACATCAGTTACCTACTGTAATGAAATCAGATCAATATTAATAAAGTGACATGAGTGAATTTCTGCTCTCAGTTCACAGTTTGTTTATGAATCAAACTTAAGCATCAGAATCTTCATTATTCACACTTATTCGTTCATTAGCAAGGAAAAAACATTGGTTACTGCTGCTCAGGGTTGCACAAAGCCTCACAACCTTCAGATGAAAATCTCCTACCTGGAACAAGCCCCATCAAGCCATAATTGACCTGTACCCGATCAGAGGATTCTCTAGACTGTTGTTTCTAGCACTCCCACTCTTTGACCTATGCAATGGGCTGGTGGCCAGCAGGGAAGCGTTAATGGCAAGAGAACAACATGAGAAGTGCTTTGCTAGAGTCAGAGCAGCCTCAAAGGTTACACTGGCCCTTTGGGTATCCAGGGGGCTGCCTGTATGAAAGAAGAGGGCACATCACCTAGAACAGACCAAGTCCTCGCCACTGCTCAGTCAGCTCCCCACCTGCATTGCACCAGTAGAGTAAACACCAGCAGACCATTTTGAGCTCTTTTTGAACTCTTCACACAGAGGTGGTCCTGTACCAGTAGGAAACAAGGCTGCATCATCAGAAGTTGTTCCTGCTGCTCACTTCAACCAGCATTTCATTGCCTGATGGACTTGTCAGCTGCTCTCTTAGAAATGCTCTGAGGCTGTTCTCATTTGAACCAGACAGAATATGAAGAATATTCACTCATCTTCGGACATTATGCTTTTTTTTGTCCTTCCACAAAGACAAAACAGGGCATCTTGTCCTTGTTGAGAGGCAAGGATTTTGGGAGAATGCTGCTTTAGAGTGAAACAGTAAAAAAATTAAATAAAAGAACAAGACTGAGCAATGGTAGAAGACAAACACCAACCAGCCAGGTAGTATTAGAAGAGGGAATATTAAAGGTTTGCAAGCAGCCCAGGAGCACTGTGAGTGTGCAGGTAACACAAAGGGTCTTATAACAGGCCTGGATCAGGGCAGGAGCTCAGGTTTCTTTGTAGGCAAGACTAAACTTAATCTATCCATTTTGAGAAATGGCCTTGAATTATAAATTCCATCAGAAGCTTGATAACACAGGAGTCTTGACTGGGGCAATGCAATATTCAGTCTTGATAATTCTACATTAAACTATTTAATATCTATCACTAAACTACAGTTTTCCTTTAACAGGGTCTAAACATCCCTGAGCTGGGCCAAGAACAGCATCAGGGAGCTCTAGCTATAAATTGGCATCCTCTGCTCTCACTGAGCTGCCTTCCTGTGCAAACATGGCATTTGCCCCTATACATCTAGTATCCCCAGGCATATTCTGTTGATACCAAACTTAGTGTTTCCATTGCAAAGCTCTAATCACTCTCAATAGCCCATTTTGCTGTCATTTTTGACCTTGGAGGTCTCAACTTTTTCAGATGTGCAGGGCTGAGAGATCTCAATGCATTGATTGTGCATAGTCACTGCACAAAAAAGACAGAGGGAGAAGTTTCACGTCAGGATTTTTTTATTGATGCGAAGTTTTTTTATTACCAGGAATTTCTCTCTGTTATTAGGCTCCAGATAGCAATTCTACCTGATTTTGGACATCTGTATGTCCATGCCACTTCCACTCTCTCCTGAAGTCTTCTCCCACCACTAGGCATTAATATGCTGAGCCTGCTACTGGGACCCACAGGGCAGATGGAAGAGGTGCGGATGACAGATGTAGAACAAGGGGCAAGAGAGAGGGACGAGAGAAATGTCACAAAGGACAAGGAGGGACAGGTATGGTGGCAAAGCCAAAGAGGAGACGGGTAGCTCAGAAGAGCTAAGAGCTGAGCTGGAAACAGTGTATTCTTTACTGTCTGCAGCTAAAAGCCTTGGTTGTTCTTTGAGGCAGATAAACCCAGGGTCCAGGACACCAGCTTTTCTTGTAGAAAACTGAAAGAATATTCAAAACCAATTCAGCATTGAGAAAATAATGTAGTCACTGTTTTGGCAATGTGGGCACTTTAGGAGGGTCACCTGACAAAGAGGAGGCCTTGAAAAAGACAATTTTATTCTCATATCATCACCCTGCAGACATTTCCCCTGGGTCCATCCCACAGCTCCTCTACCATCCTCCCACCTCTGACTGTCTGCAGTAAGATTTATGCAACCAGCCCCTCAGTAAAGCATACACTTTAAAACACTGTAAAGCATATTGGATTTTTTTTTCTACTCAAATGAGATCATCAGAAGAACTCTAGATTTAAAACATGGTGGGAATGATTCAGTAAAAAAAAAAAAAAAGAATATCCGCTGATTTGCTCTTGGTCTCAAGCGCCACAGAAGGAAAGTGGTGCTGGATTTGCAGGCAACTTTCAAATGTCTCCAAATTCAGTGCTACAAAAAGTCTATTGCACAGGCTCAGCTGGAGAGGGCAAGGCACAGACGGCAGACAAGGTCACTCTGACAACGGGGAACATGCTTTATATGCTGAGCAGCACCAGGCTGGAAGAAGGCAGACAACAAGGGCTTGACGCATTTGAAGTGTCGCTCAAAGTTGAGTCAAGGTTTCTCCTTGTGGAGGTACCTGACAGCTCCAATCACCTTCCTATTTCATGTCAGCATTGATTTCAACTCCAGGTCTTGCAATTCTTCCTGTAATTTATTCAGTTCATAGTGATTCACTACATAAAAACAGGTGGAAAAAAATCCCCTCTGGTAAAGCACCATGGTTACAGATCTAAGATCCAGCCTTGCTGTATTGAAAGCAATGGGAATTTCATTCCTGTCTTCAGGCAAACCCTTGCCCACCAGGAAACTCCAAAGTTACAGGTCTCAGTTCTGTCTTCATTTACATCTGCTAAAATTCCAACTGACATTTTGCTTTAACAAGCTTCAGATTGCTTCTTGGGCAATCAGCTCCTCTGCTTCTGTGATAAGCATGATCATAAAAGTAAATTCAGCCCCATGTTTAGTACTGCAGCCAGTGAAGATTAAAGGGTGGAAAAGGAAACCATTTATACTACCTTTTTTGTTTCCCCAGTGCCCAGGTGAATCGGAAAAGTTTCTTATATAAATTTCAGTGAGATAAGTTATGAAACTCGTGTTCTGTCACTCTTTTAAATTACATCCTTCAATAAATGTTCCATCTCCTACAGCTAATCCTGGATTTATGCAAAAAAAAAAAAAAAAAAAAGAATGAACTACCACAAAAAAGCCAACCCTGTCCAACAATGCTAAAGATGTGGAAAGAAGTATTTCAGCTTGTATACGCACCCGAATAGTCTTTCAGTAACTGTGCATATTATATTTTCACCCCAGAATGTAGGTAGGGATTGTTGCTCACTGAATGTTCAGATAGTTTTACACTGTAAGATATTTGAGGACAAATATCTATATTTTTAACAAAACAGATACAACATGCATTTTTATTTTAGTTGCCTTAAAATGAGGTTTGCTCTTGTCAGAGTAAGTTTCCCGTACTTTGCTAATGCAAAATTATTTCCTGAATGTGGGGTTTTGGAATTGAGGGTTAAGGAATGCCCAAGATTTGGCTCCGATTTAAATAATCAGTAGTTTTGTGTTCTTTGTGACAGAAGATTGCCCTTTTCCACTCTCCATCTTGGTCCCAGAGCAGCCCACAAACCATCAGGCAGCTCTCTCCCCATCTGCCTCAGCCCTGGGGCACAGGGATGCCCTCCTTCGCCAGAAGCTCTGGCTCCAGTTTCTCACAAGTTTCCCAAGTTTCTGAGTCTCTCTGGTGAGAAAGGAACTATCAGCTTCACCTGTGCCAAATCCCAACTTTCTGAACACCTCCACAGCATGACCAAGCCACTACAAACCATCATTCCTTGTTTTCAGGAGGGACTGAGAAATGGTCTCAACAGGTACAAGACCTAATGCACATCCCAACAACTCAATTTTCAAACGCAACACAACAAAGATGCCCAGCTCCAGGCCACCCTTGCTCCCATCACCCACTCCTTCCAAAGGCCTGAGCCTCCACCTCTGACTTGTGCAAAGGAGAGGAAGCAATCTGTCTGAGCCAGAGGGCTGCATGTAACACTGGCTTTCCGTTAAAATCCTTTTCATTTATGAGAGACTTTCCTGCAACAGGCACTATAAAGTCAGTATGGAAAGGGACAGCCCAGAGGCTTCAATGAAAGAGAAGGATGGTGAGATGGGACTCAGAGGGGAGAAAAAATTAAATGAGAAAGGGAAACTGCGGGAGAAATAAGTTATTTTCATAGTTAGACAGAATCGCTGAATCACAGAGTAACACATGGTGAGCAGGGCCTCCGGAGGTCTCTAGAGCAGTCCCTTGCTCACAGCATGGCCGTTACACCAGGTTGGATCAGGCTGCTTAGTCTCTTGTTTAGCTGAGTTCTGAATAGCTCCAAGGATGGTGATTCCAGTGCCTCTTCTGGCTTCTGCCCCAGAATTTGAACATGCTCAGGGTGAAGAAGCTTTTTCTTATTTCTAGTGGACAATGCTTGTCTTCTACCCCACTTCAGACAGTTTATGAAAGCAAAGCATTTTTGGGGAAAGGTTCTCCCTTTGACATATATATTCTTATTTTCTCTCCTGCCTTTTATGTAACTCATTTTATGCTGCTTTTTTGGCTCTGCTTTTATGCAGTAGCTCTGTTACTGTCTGCTTTTCCAAGTATAAAAACTCTAAATTTTATTCAAACCTGATAATTATGCTATGATCTAGCAAAGGCCTTAATTAACCCTATTGAAGCCAATACGTATGAAACATGCTCTTTAGGATCTTAAGAATTTGGTGTTTAATTGCATCCAACACCCATAAAGGTGCAGGAAGCTGGAGAAGTGAATATGTAGCTGATTCAAACCACTGGTACTAACAGGACAGGACTTCATGCACTAGATCTCGTATAACCCAGCCAGACCAGGATTTTCTGCTGTCTCCCACCGCAGGAGGAATGTGAATGTACCAGATCCACAAGACAACTCGATTGGTCACTGGTATTGCTACAAAAGTTTGTCATGTCCTTTGGCTGCTAGCAATCCTGAATCATGATCTGCACAGTGGGCGTGTTTGTGTTCCCCTTCAAGGCATTTCTAGCTGCATTCACTACCCATCAGGACAGTCTACAGGGGCACATCTTCCTCTCTTGCCATCAGTCTTGCCAAACTAAGTAAAATTTAACCATAGGGAAAAAAAAGCATTGCGATCTCTCCTGCCTGGCAGCAGCCAGGAGAAAAGTATGGGAAACAGTATTCGGGAGGGGTAGTCTGGCATCCCATGCAGTTGGCATTTGCAGCCACCTCAACTTGCTGCTCAGCCCTGTAGACACTCTGTACCTTGTGTGGGGGGAAGAAAAGTCCTTCACACACCCAGCTGCATAAAATAAATGTTCTACAATGTCAGCACAGGAACAATGATGTCATTTTGTACTGCCCCTCTGTTTTTTATCTTGCCTGCTTATTCATCCCCTAATTCACTGGGTAACTGTGCAGAGCTACCAGGGGACTAAAGCGTGGGTCTGAGGTGAAGTCAGGTCTCCACACTTCACAGGAATGACCAAGGGCGGGTGCTGCAGCAACCTGCAAGCCAGGTTTTATCCTTCTACGTTCTTACTGGAATTTGGCACAATCAATACACCACTAGCTTTCTTCCCTTCCTGTCCCTCCCCAGCAGCAAATCCTTGGTTCTTGCCAAGCTTCATGATTTCGGGGAATGGGAACACTCATTATCACACTGATGATAGCTGAGAAATGCTTAGTTGGCACCAGGGAGGAACTGATCCTGAATTTATGTGCCCGATTCTCAAACACTTTGCTCTTGGTCATGAGAAGCAGAGGGTTTTATACAGACATGAGAAGCAAATCAGCCTATGGGGAAATGCAGTTATGGGAAACAGGCCTAAAATTGTCACCAAATAGGCCTAAAACTGTCTTATAAGCTTTTAGCCCAGTCCAGAGGAAAAAGTGTATGTTTGTCTTTCTTTAGGGCTTCACAACACCCAGCTCTAAATGTCACTAGCACGCAGAGGAACAGGAGTGACCATAATGCTCAGAAAATACCCCCATTCGCTACGTCAAGCTCTTCCAGCAACACATCAAGCAGCTCTTCACTTTCATCAGAACCGACCAGCCAGATCTCCATGGTTCAGGATCAAACCCTGCTGGACATTGCCTCCATCAGTAGATTGGCCCCAGGAGAATTACCAAACCCTCAACCATTTGAGCAAAGAGATAAAAATTTAGCAATATTGTGTTCCAGCCCACTCGGAGCAAGGACTATTCCAGCATCTTGCCCAACCAGTCCCAGGCTCAGTCTAATACCCAGCTCAGCCAAGCCACAGCAATACTCTGACTCCTCTCCAGTCAGTCCAGGGATCAATGCAGCTTCCTTCTATACCTTTTGTCCTCACACAGCACAGAACGTACAAGCTTCAGCATCAGACCACACACTGACCCCAACCAAGAAAAGCACAAGGCCTCCAGCAACAATGACTCCTGAAGACAGTTCCCAGTCTCCTGACTATTCCAATACTGGATTAAAAAATACAGGAAAGGGTTTTGAATCAGATCTAGAAGATCCTGATCATGAAAGGTACGTATCCAGGCCATACACATATTTAAGTCTTCAAATGACTCAGCTTGGCATAGGGTCAGTAAGGGACCTTCATTAAAAAATTTCAATAACTATTATGATTTAGATGTTCCCAGTGTTTGTTTTCCAGTAACTACCCTATGGTCCCACTAAACCTTGTTATCCAAGAAGCAAAATATCATATTTTCCATACATTCATTTAGCTTTCCAGACCTGATTACAGACTATCCCGGGTCCAGGTTGTCAACCTCAGCTCCTCCAATGGCACAGCTTTAAGGTGCCTCAATTCCTTTCAAATGAGAAAGCACATCTCCCCCCATACCAGCAGAGAGAAACTCTGCTGTTACTATGAAGCCTGACAGATCAGAGCTGGGGATGGTACTCGTGGCATGGCCAGTATCTCCCATCCCAGACCTCAGGCTCTGTGGTCCAACCCCAGGCAAGCTGGACTGATTTCATTCCTCTGAGCCTCTGAACTCCACACTGTGTCTGCCACTTCTTTCCTTGGCAGGAGATTTGTAACCTCAGAGGAGTTCCAAGCCATGGAGAAAGAACTAGAGGATGTAAAAGAAGAACTGAAATGCCTGAAGTGGAAAGTGAGACATATCGGTGAGACTGTGCAGCCCCTGGCCGAAGACAGCAAGCGTTACAACGGCTATACCCTGACCGAGCTCAAGGCAATGGTGCAGTTTGAAGATGACCCTTACAAGGCTGCACACAAGATCCTAACCGCACTCTTCAGTGATGTCTACTTGCTACAGCACTCAGTCACTGAACAGGCCTGCAACTCCCGATCTCTGCCCAAGCCCAAAATAGACCCAGAGCTGTACACGGTGTACTGTGACATTCTGAAAAGCATATTCCCTGGAATTAGCAGCCAGACTTTGAGGGAAGAGGCACAACACGTGCAGAAAAGCACCCAGAAAGAAGTGCAATAACACCAGAGCCCACAAGACGTTCTGCAAAGTGAGACGTCTCCAATGAACTTAGAGGACTGAACTGTGGTAGGTACCGTTGGTTGAGTCTATCCCTTCTAGGTATGAATCATCTGTAAAGATATCAGTGAGCTCTGAGCCCTTCATGCCACTTCCCAATGAGACAAGGTGGGAAGGCAAAGTTCTGCAAACTTCCCACATTTTAGACAAAAATTGCTCCCTTAGTGTCTCTTTCGATATATGGACATTTCCTTGTTTCCAGCAACTACAAATGCTGACAAAAGAATCCAGAGAAGGCATTGTATGCCCAAGCAAGGGCCTTCTCCCAGCCCCAAACAGACCAACCAACCAGCAACTGGGTAGTTTCTATTTTCTAGAGTATATCATTCATTAAATGACATTACTTGTTAGAAAATGGTGCTTGTTCTTATTTATTTATTTATTTATTGTGTAAAAATGCTTTGCACATCAAATCAACCAACAACCATAACTTCACTACACACTGGGATGGGACCGGGGCATGCAGCAAACCACTCTTCTCTGCCCACCTGCGTCCTGGGTTACTTGGGAAGAAAACCAGGGCACAGAGGTGGGCAGCTGCAGTGCCTCCAAGCAGGGCTCCATTCAGAGTAACGGGGCCAGGGCGTAAAAGTGTGCAATATGCCCCTAAATCACCAGCCCACCAGTGAAAACAGTAAAGGCCTGTGACTTCCATCTCTGCCAGCCTCTGATGACTGAGCTGACAGCCCAGCCCACACATGTTAACAACTGTGCTTTGCCTTCCCATGGCAATGATGCCCCAGGGCTGGCCAGTGGCAAAGGCCCCACGAGGTGATGGCTCCTATGGAGCCTGCCGCAGGGGAAGGAGGCTGTTGGTCACAGAGGACACAGAGGAAAATGGCACTCGGGCTCCTTCCTCCCCTTTTGGGACCCAGCAAAGTGCCATGAATGAACAACAGTTTGTCCCTCAGGCTCTGCTCACAGGGCTAGCCTTGTAGCCTATTTTGTAAAGATCTGGTGAGGGTGGAGGGATGTTCCTTGTGCCATTTTGCTCAGTACAAGTGGAAGACACTGCTTCCCTACCCCACTGGTTCATTTACCCCCTTTCAGAGTCACTGACACTTCTGGGAAACAGGTACTTCCCTGGTCTCAATGTGAAAAATACATCAAACCCCAGAACAAGTCTGTCCTGCTGCTGCTCCCTGCCAGGCTACTGAGCATGGCAAGATGAGCAAAAGGTAACCTGCGAGTTCAGCCTACCTTTCCCTCTGCTGGGATATAATCCACTTCTTAAGTTTATTCCTAAAACAACAGGAAGAAGGTGAAAACAAACAAACAAACAAACAAACAATTACAAAAAAAATAAAAGCAGATCATTTCTCATGTCACCACAACTCCAGACATCTTTGGAGGATGGGAGGAGGCATATGCTCCTAGGACACACTCTGTACCTTCTCGGTTTTTATGCATAAGGACATTCTGACATTTGTATGAGAGATCTTACCTGTCTTTCAGCATGATGTATCTATACTGTTTTCTGCTGGGCTTATAAATACTTTTTTTTAAGCTCCTTGTTATTAGCAATTTATTTTATTTACAAGCTGATGTACAGACACAGGCACAGCACTTTGCCCCCACAGCCTCTCTGTGCCACACTGCAGCCAAGATCCACAGCCACTCCTGGCAAATACCAGGTAGCTCAGGCAATGCATGGGGCTGCGCACAGCGCACACCCTCGGGGCAGTCACAGCACCACAGCAAGGGCCTGGGGAAAGGATGCACCCCCACAGCCAGCTTCCTTCGCAGGTGGGCACAGAGGTGAGTGTGGGATGGATGAAGCTGCTGGAGATACAGTGTTCCCTCAGCAAATCACACAGCCCGGTGAGCACTGTGGTGGATTACAACAAATCATTTGGAAGGCTATGTGCGCTGTGTGTGCCCTCCTGCAAGCATTTATGTTCTACCTTCATGGGTCTTTTTTGTAGGAAAATACGACCTTTTGGTTCAGACAGGTGGGAACAGGCTGGCCCTCCTCTTGCAAAAGTCACGTAGGGACTACCCCAGACTTGCTTCTCTATGACAGACCAGACTCCCGACTCTCTGGGAGCTCTCTTTTCAGAGCTTTCTCCAGCAGGCACAGAAGTGAGGAAAACACAACATAGGTGTTCGCAATATCAGTCTTCATACATTGTATTGCCTGCTCTCCCTGCCTGTAAAATCTTAATACAGTTGTTCCTGTAAGAACAGCCTCGGTGGCTTCTCATGTTCATGAGGCCAGACAATATGTTCAGATTATCTCTTATAGCCTTGTCCTTCTCATAACTGGTAGTAATAAGATCCAGCACAGGTCTATGAGTTTTTATTAGCCTTGCATCATCAAGGTTGGTTCTATCAGAAACTGTCAGTTCTGGGTCCCATGCAGGTTTTAGTGTCCTCCTCCTTCTGAGTAAGATGCAGTATGAATTACTTCTGCTCACTTTAGACATGTGCATTAGGTCTTTTACCCTGATAATCATGACTTTTGGCTATTCCAGTGGAGCTTTCGGGTTACTTGCATCCAACTAGAACTGGCCAGTCTTGCCAGACCTTCCATACATTATTATTCGGTATCTGCACTTCTGAGTCCTAGAGTCTGTGCTCGCTGCCTCACCTGCTGCAGCAGCAGCCCAGGTTATCTGCTGCAGGGAACCTGTGAAAAAACAACAGGACAGACCCACTACATTTGTCCTTTACAGGCTTCTCACTTTCTTCTCTTCCTCTCTGCATTTCCACATGGAAGGCAGCTCTGCTTCTGTGAAGATGGCTTGTTCTTCAGTTACTACGTTATCTGCACCTTTATGACCATCTTCAGTAACTGAGCCATGTTCCCTGATTTTTCTACAAGGAATAAAAATCCACTGATTTTCTACTCATTTCCCTGAGCACTTCCTGTTGTTTATATTCCTGTGCGTTACCAAGTCCTTTCATCCTTTTACAAGCCTTAGCTTTCCTTGCTAGCTTCGTTGGGGAAAGACACACAGCTGTCTTCCCGCAATTCTGAAGAGCTTTTCTGTGTCCAGTCTATTTTTCCTATAGTCACCCACTCCTAACACAACAGGAGGATGAGGGCTGAATGCCTACACCTGCAGAAAGAGCCCTTCTCCTTGGAGAGTAACAAAACTGAGTCAGCATAACAGAAGAAAGACAGCAATACCTTAAATACACGGGCCTGAAGGCAAATTTTTCTTCTTTCACTTTTAGCACCCTGCCCTTGCTAGAGATGTGTCCTGTTACAAGCGTGTTCTGCCTTAAGACTTTAGGTCTCGCTGCCTGCTATTCAGACAGAAAGGCAATTACACAGTGCCATTATTCTGACAGCTACAAAAATTCAGCCATTGTTCTTCTTGGACAATTCCTACTGATTTGCATTGTGCCTGCATTGCTCCTTAGCCTAAATAAGCCTTCTCTCCAAAATGTTATCGCCTTCGCTTGTATAGAGACAC